ATTCCACCTCTGGAAATATAATTCCGAAGCTGCTTCAGAATTTTCTTTGCTGTGTATGAAGCACAAGGTGCCATTATTAAAAGAAACTGGTAAATGAACGAAATAAACAATATTATATAAAATTTTGAAAAAAAGTGCATACTATTATATATTTTTGAAAAGTTAAAAAAAATGAAAAATTTTGGAGTTTATATACAGGGTGTTCAATTAAATGAATATAAATATAAGTCCTCCAAAAAAATTGACAATTGTCATATATTTGCTTGTTCTTAAGAAAAAGTGCATTTTTGAAAAGTTTAAAAAATGACAAATATTAGAGTTTATAATTATACAGAATGTGCAATTAAAAGAAAATAAATCATGCGACGAAGCTAAAACAACAAACGAAAGGAAACAAATTATATTAAGTCCTTCAAAAAATTTGACAATTGTCACTTGTTTATTTTTGAGAATAAGCGCATACCATTATATATTTTCGAAATGATAAAAAACAACAAATTTTAGAGTTTATAAATATGCAGGGTGCTCAATTAAAAGAAAATAAAATATGCTACGAAATTAAAACAACAAACGAAAGGAAACAAATTACGTTAAGCCCTTCCAAAATTTGACAATTGTCATTTATTTACTTGTTTTTGATAAATGTTTTTGAAATGGTAAAAAAAAACAAATTTTAGAATTTACAAATATACAGGGCGTTCAATTAAATGAAATATAAAGGACGCTACGTTAATTTTTTAAAGGTATATGAGAGTTTTTACATTTCTACGACTACGAAAGTTTTCTTAATGGCAGTTTGGTTTCACGAAAAATAGGTACAGTGCCGCCAAAACCGCATATCTATAATAATAAGGGCCATAGCCTGAAAAGTGCCAAACCTGTATTAGTTTTAAAGTTAGCTGAGTTTTGTATAAAAATACATTCAAATGTTTAAAAATTATCCGAACATATCAGGTCACTCTGTATATCATGTGCACTGTATTTGGAATACATGCATATGTAACTGTTTTTTTCAGACTTGCGGGAGACCAAGTTGCAGAACGAAGTCAAGGTGTAGGAAACCAGCTCGAAGGCCGTAGAAAGTTTTGTCTAATTTTACACTGCGGTTTTCTCATTCTAGAATTGCATGCGATTAAAAGCGCGATACCTATAACGTTTGCGCCAAATAACAGTATACGTTTTCATTCGATTCTACATGATACAATAAATCCAAGAATTAGGTAATAATAATTCTGAATTAGTTCAGTAAATAAATACCAAGGAGAATTTTAAATTTATATTTAGTGACTATTTGGACTTAACAATTGGATATAGCTTATTTTCTACTTTTAACGTCCGAAACGTGAAAAGACCAATTGAACTTTACTGCGTCATCTGTGAGCTAGAGGTTGCACCTGTCGGCTCGCTTTGGGAAATCTCTATAGCAATGTAATATGTCGTAAAAGGCGAGAGCTCACAGATGGCGCCATTATTCTAAACTTGTAAAGGAAGAATGTTTGATATCTTAAAGAATTAATTAACTAGTACAATTTTTTTGACCTGTTTGAAATATTTTCGAACTTAACATTCGCCAATCAAGCAAAATACGAGAATGCAAACATTTATATCTAAGTTCGAATGTTGAAGGAGGCAGCGCCATCTTCAGGTCGGTGAATTAACGTTACGAATAAAATACCCGCCAAGATTGGCATTGCAATTTTCTGTTTAAAACAAATCTTTATTGGGGTGATAAATAACTCCTCCACAACTGTTCAAAGTATATTAAAGATATGGGTAATAAATTTTCCTAGCGCTATGAACTACTGATTTTGAGTCTATCAGTGCTGAGGCAGAAAAGGTGTCAATTTCCGAAACACGGTTTTGAAAAATTCTGCTGGTTGGTTATTTGGTTTTTGAATAATACCCAGACAGGTACATAAAAATATCAGCCAAAGTGCATATCTGGATGTGTTTATGATAGGTGACTGTGGAATATATTAAATCGATAATACACGTACGTTGCCGCCACACACCTCTACGTTCCTGATACACGGACGTATAATAGTCGTCGTATATGTCTTGGAACGACGTACAACCAACTATAAAAAAAAACATATATAGTGCTTTCACAGATCATAGGATTGGCGATTTTTCGAAAGTATCTACCCTCGTATAAAAATTTCATATCTGGGTTACGTTGGGTCATAAGGGATCGCCATTGGTACAAATATGACCAGCGTCGAAAAAAAATTTATTTTGTCTGTCCGTTCTCCGTTCTCAGCTTTTGGTTTCGCTTTAATAATTTTCGAACCGTTGGAGCTACAAAATTGAAATTTGCCTCATTTTCAATCCCGCACGAAATACATAAGTTTGTAAAAAATGGCCTCGATCCGACGCCGGCATCCATTTTTTTTCGCGATTTTCGATTGTTTTTTGAACATTGGCTATGAAACACGATAAGTGTCCGAAATTCGCAGCAATCGACTTCATATTTGGTAAATATATGCAGCTTTTTCCCGTGTTGTTGAAAACGGGGGTGTCGGGAAGTGTTAAAAATAAATAAATAAAAATCGCGTGTGCAAGGGTCTTCGAAAAAGACCATTTTTTTTCAAAAACCGAAGACCGAAAAAATTCTTGAACCAGAAGAAGCAGAGGGTACGGCTCCATAAAATTTTATTCTTGACATTTTTTCAAAAATAGACAGGGTGCGCCATCTGAAAAATGGGTCCCCCTATTATTGAAAATTGGCAATAATGAAAAATCTGTGTTTTAGATGTCAGTTTCTTTTACATTGCGGGCTATAGACATCAAAAACTTTTGTATTTAACGTTTTGGGATATTCCGTGCAATATTAAAAACCATTATAACCATGGCAGAGAAGTAGAAGTTCAGACCCACATTTAAGCTATTAAAATCGAGCGCAATTAAGTACCGCAAAGTATTTTTTTACAATTTTTAATTTTTTTTTTATTATATTGGCTTGCAGAAAAACCTCTTTTCTTCCAAAATTATTCATTTCCGATCGAAAAACTGTTACAGCCGTAATCCGTGGCAGACCCGGCGCTATAACTTTTCTTTCGCTCATTTTTTCGATTATATACAAGGTGTTTTGGTTATGGACAAAAATGTAAAAGACCCTGAAAATTGTTCTTTTAGAGAGTAAATTATTAAACGTAAATCAAAATTCGTAAAAAATATGTGTAATTGGTTTAAGCAGTGTTATAGACCACATCGAGACCTACAATTTTTGTATTTTGAAAGATATTGATAGATCGAAATATCAATCTAGACACAATGACGTCATTTATTATTACGGCGTGCTGTCGGGAAACAAGTATTTTGTCGAAAACTATTTATCCTATTCATTCACAATTCATATGCCGGAAAACGTGGGAGATCTAGGGCTATAACTTTTACTTTGAGCAAAAAATAGCCAGTCCGTTCACACAGTGTTATAGGCCGTATCAAGGGCTACACAAACGCTGTTCGGGATATTTGAAAAAATATGTTTTTCCTGTATCGACTCTTAAGACTTTTTATTATGCTCTGGTCCATCGGCTGTAACTTGTTGTTTTGGCTAGGAGAAATGGCAATTCAATATTCAATATTCAATATACACTTTTCGCTTCGAAATTTAAGTGTTTTATCTGGCGTCATTTTGTAAAAAGCGTTAAAAATGTCGTCAGCAGGATACATTTTTAGTTTTGGCCACGTCTTGTCCAGCCAATCATTAGTGACATTTTCGTGGACACTTATCTGTCCATAATTTATACCATGTGTCTGTTTGAACTTCCGAAGCCTTGAAATCGATAATGCCAAGCTGTTCAGTAAACTTTTCTGTTTTTATTTATCACGATAGGTCCAGGGAGTGGTACATTTCTAAGACGTTGCTGTTGGAACCACTGCAACATTGTCCCATCCAAATCTTCAATTTTTTTCTTTCGGTATAGACAAATTCGTTACACAGAGTGGATTAATACATAGCTTTGTATGGAGACCTAATAATACAACAAATTTTGTTCGTAATACAGAGTTTTACGTTATACAGTTTCGCTATAGGGAGTCTCTTCTACGTTCCTGATACTCGAACGTATCATAGTCCTCGTACATGTCGTGCAACAACATTGTTGGAAATCATCTAAAACATATATGCAACATGTATCGTGCGTTCAATTTATCTTTTTAACAATTTAATTGCCCGTAACTTTTTTGTTTTTAGAGATATCAAGGCAAACAAGAAAACAAATTGTAGGATTAGTAGCCAATTTTTTTTCTAAGTGACGTATAAAACAAAGAAAGTAAAGAATTTTTTACTTTAGTGTGTCTTGTCATTTTTAATGTTTTTGTTCTACTTTAATTTGTAAATAATTATTGCTGTTGCAGTCAGTCACAGCACTGTTTGAAATTTATAAAGATTTCCTATTCCTATCGATTTGTCAAAAACGAGTCTACTAAAGTGCGTTATATCATTGTAAATTTAAAAAAATATGATGTAGGCTTATATGTCAGAAAATTGTTAGTGTTTTGTTTTATACGTCACTTGGCTACTAACCAAATATTTTGTTTTTTTGTTTACATTGATATCTCTTACAGCCAATTAAAATGTCATCAATATAAATTGAACGCACGGTACGTTTGGGGTCATTAAAAAGGTGATGGTGCATTTTATTTCTGTTCTATTTTTATTTCAACATACGCATAACTGACACTCATCTCCTGTAGGAAATTTAAGCTCTAGGAATTAACGCAATAAAACAGTTGATTAGGTTCTAGTTCTTGCATCTGGGCACCTGGTTTCCCACGAGAACTTTTGAGGAAATAAATAAAAGTGGCAAAAAGCAATTTCGCGCTGACAAACAAAATTACCAACGAACCAGAAGCGATTACGTCTACTTAGCGGGACATTCGGTAAACTTTAATTCCCCTGTCAAATGATAAAAATACAATTTATAAACGTTATCGATGGATTTGCGCTGGTTGGAAGATCCTCGCTCCTATAACGATTTCAGTTTCCACGAATACGTTTATAGGGTCACACAATGAAAACGTATGTTTTTTTAATGTTGACGTATGTCGCTACCACTACAGAGGGCGCTAACATTTTGATAACGTTCGAAGCTCCCAGAAGAAGCCACCAGATATGGATCAGTAACGTGGTGGAGCAACTATTAGAGAGAAAACACAACGTTACGATGGCGATACCATTTCCGGATACCTTGGCGAGGATCAAAGCCAAAGTAAGGGAATCCATTGATGAGGTGACCGCCGAACATGAAAATTACACCTCCATAGCACTGGAAGGTAATTGTCTTAATCTGAATTCTGTATTGTTACGATTATATTACGCCTCGTGTTGTAATTAAGAACACTGTAGTGCTCCTAACCAAGCGCACTTCAAAGCTAAAATATTCTGGGAATCTCAATAAAAATATCGATTCCATTTAGTTCTCAGAACGACGCAACGCATATTATCAACATATATATAAATATTATTGTATTGTAGTGCGGTAAACGGCATTTGACTCACGAGTGAGTTAAAAAGTTTACCGACCGTGTTGCCTACTATAATATTTCTACGACCTTTAGTTTTTGAGTACATTTTCGCAAAACGACACGAATACATTCACTGACATGACCTTCAGAATTGACAAACGTCAAAATTCAAACCGTGCGGTAAAATCTCCTAAAACATCCGGTAAAATCCCGGAAATGTCCGAAGTGGCTCGGATCCGTGCGAAACGAAACGAATGCTGTAAACAAGTCCATTGTAATTTCCCAATTTTACGAACACTTTTCAGGAATCATTACCTACCACAAGCATTTTGACCAGAGGCAGCTTATCCACTCGGGGCTCGTGGGATCCCTTAAAACATCCCACCGTTACAATTATGACATTTGTGACCGAGTTTACCGATCGAAGGGCTTTCAGCGTCTATGGAGCTACCCGGATAGTTTCAAATTCGATTTAATCATCGTCGACGTTAGTTTGGGTCAGTGCCTGTATCCGTTAATCAAAAAATTTGGAGGAGCTCAAGTAGTGGGATTTTCTCCGTCTTCGTTAAATCCGTATCTGTCATCGGTATTTGGCAGTGACGATCAGTCAGCTTATATTCCTTCACGACACTTGAGGTAAGTTTTGTTATTGATGTTTTCTTAAGGATACGATGACAATAGTAACAAATGGACCGTCACGTTTTATACCCAGCATAACAAATGCTAAAATAAATACAGACAATGGACAGAAAGAACAAAAAATGAAAAGAACACAATAAAACTTGAAAAAAAAATTAATAACTAGAAATAACAATAATAATAAGAAAGTGGGAACATTCTATAACTTTTAAACGGCTTGAGCTGGCGATTAGAAATTTGGAAGCTTCTCTTAGCAGAATCTCTATTCAGTGTTCATTAGATCTTCGACGCTCTTTTACCCGCCAGGTCATTACACCTGTTTGTTAATAATTTTATGCTGTGCCCGTTAAAATGCACTTTATTTTTATTACAGTTAATCCATTTTTTATAAGCATCGTTCAAATGTTACAGGGACGTAGACTTGAGGTTTTTCTTCGACCGCCTGCTGAATTATTTGACCAACAAATTCGAATACGTTTTCAAACAAAATTGGGAACTCAAATCGATAGAGAATCTAGCCGAGAAACATTTGCAGGAGGAGTTCAACTTCGAAGAACTCCAACGGTCCGTTTCGTTGCTCTTGGTCAACTACAATCCGCTTTTGAATCGGGCTCAACTGCTACCTCCAAATATCGTGCCTGTCGCTGGTTTGCATTTGAAACGGCCTGAGGAATTACCCTCGGTAAGGCGGACAACATACTGTCGAAATTGTTCTAAAATAGATTTTAATTTATATATATTTTTTTGAAATTGCGAAAAAACTAAAGTTCCATGCTTGATACAAAATCAAACTTTAATATAATACGCACATGCGTATTTAATACGTACATATATTTATGTGAGCCAAATAAAATAACCCACGACCTGGAAACCCATGGGAGATACAAAAAAGTTTCTTACAAAAGTGTCTTTGACTCTCCTGAAAATATAAAATATTATAATTTATGAACTTTAATCCTTGGTTGAAATAAAAGTCACTTTCTTAAGAAATTCCTATTCTAATTTTGCGTAGGTTTGGCAGAAATTGAGGTTATGGTTTTTTGTTGCATATTTTGATTGCCCCATATAAAATTGTGTTGTGGTGCTGATGATCCAGGTATTGCAACGAAAATTTAACCACAGAATAAGGAGGTGATACACTAATGAATCAGTTTGACAAATGCGCCTCAGCTCATACAGGGTATCCCAAATAGGTGGTGACGTTTTGGCGGATTTAACTAACAAAATCTCAAGATTTTCAAATGTATGTTTAAATTTTACTCACTTTTTGAGATATTCGAGGATTAATTATTGTTTATTTTAAGGCTGCCCACTATATGTCACTTGTTGGTAATATTAGAAAATAGCAAAGACACGATATTACTTCTTTTATTATTGGTAACAATACAGGGTGTCTATTAATACATGGAAATTTTGAGAAAAACCGACGCTGTACTACACACTTTAACAGATTTAATAAAACTTCAAAATTCATATTTAAAGAAACATTTAATAGCTGATTATTTAGGTTGATTGAAAATTATTATTAATAAAAATAAATAATTAAAGTTCATAGGATAACAAAAAAACTGTAACTTATTTAAAATACAAATAAAACATATACTACCAAAAAACTTGACAACTATGACCTTTTTGAATAGAAATATGAAAAACAACAAAAACAGAAATGTCAATTTTTGTTTAGGCCTTAATTAGTCAAAAAAAGATTTTTAAATATCTCGATGTTTCTTTATTGTTTTGATGCCAGATGAAACGAGAATTTTAAGAGGAACATTTTTAACTAAACTTTATGGACCGAATTTTTAGTTAACTTTTTTTTTGTACAGATTACTTATTCAAATTTGTTAAATTAACTAATAAATGTTTCTTTAAATGTGAATTCTGAACTATTAATGGAACCCCGTCTGAATTTATATATTTTATTGTTAGCAATAAGTTTTATTCTTATATCTGGAGTATTATATCTTTAAAAGAAGTGGTTACGTTTCTTTGCTATTTAAAAAATACCTAATATTTTTATAGTGGGTCGTTGCTCATGTCAAAATCTAATAAATGTTTACAGAAATGTCTATATAATATATTTAAGATACAAAACCTAACCTAGAATACATAAAAATTTATTATTTATTATATTTTTTATATATCCTATCTTTTTTGTTCCTTATTTTAGCAGTTAGCGGTATACATTTTTTTCGTTTACTTTTTGTTCTTTATGTACTTCTATCTAATCTAACTAACCTTATTTGTTTTTTACACTGATTTGCTATAACATTTCGCTTTCCCTATTTATTGTATTATAGCAATGTTTTGTATTTTGTAGTTCGTTTTTTTGTTGTTTTAACAAGTAATTCCTTTGCGTAAAACATTTGTACTCTGTAAACAACTGTACAAGAGACTAATTTCATGTTTTTTTTTTTTGAAAGACGAATTTTGGGAAATGTTTTTGCATAATGTCGAATTTTTTAAGATGTACTTCTCCTCATCTCAAAATTGTAAAACTGACCACTGGAATGCATAATGAACATCTGAAGTTCATTCAAAACGTTTCTAAGATAATTTAATCTGCAGCTTTAGGTTGTTTGTTTGTTGTAGCATTCCTCAGTATTTTTGGATATCTAAATTCGGTAAACCCCGTCTATATTTATATATTTTACTCTAGGGTATAATAAACTCTGGGGAAGAACCAAAAAGTGATATATTTTTTTAATAAACTTTTTTTTGTCAAAATATGAATAAGCAATTTGATTGGTGATATTGGTACACATTGTAGTGAAGTTAGTGTTATCGCATTATTCCTCCCCTATACCGAACAGAAAAAAATGTTTTCAATTTTTATTTTTAGGTGTTGGCTATGATCTTAAATAAAGCATTCCTCGGCGTTGTATTCGTTTCCTTGGGGACGGATATTCAGCCCGAAATTTTATGCCACGCTGATACTAAAACTATAGCGAATGCGCTTGGAAGATTGGTCCAAAAGACGGTTATTTGGAAAAACCGCACCATAAATACGGACCTGCCTGAGAATATCGTCGTCCATGCCTGGATGCCGCAAAACGAACTGCTCGGTATGGCAATGATATTGAGTTTGTTTTTAATTACATTTATTTATGTTTTCAGCATTATGTTTATCATTGCCTTTTACTGACTTAACTAATTTGTTGTTTCGCTTTAAACTGTATGCCTAAATTCTACCTAATCTAAATCATTGTGATGAAGGATCTGGAAGAATCAATACTAAGTAGTATCACTTTCGACATTCCATTTTTTTACAGTTACGTTGACGATTGCATTATGGCAATACCCAAGAGTAAACAAGATGAAGTTGTACGACTGTTCAATACCTATCATCCAAAAATACAATTCACAATCGAGGTTGAATCAAAAAACAAAATTAATTTTCTTGACCCTAAAACTGAGTGGTACACTAAAGGAACTTGGTCATCTAGATATGTTGATGTTAACTCCCAACATCCCATACCCCAAAAATAGTCACTCATTATTGGACTGGCTATTAGGCTTTCCGATCCTGCCTTTAGAAGGACATCCATAAGCAAAGCGAAGCAGGCACTAAAATTAAATAATTCTCAATAAAAAATAGAAAATGACATATTTAAAAAACGCATAAACCTATTTTATAATCAAAATCAACTTAAAAATAATAAACATGAAACCAAAGGAAAAAAAATAACCTCTCCTTGCCCTGTATACCGGGTATGTCGGAAAATCTCAACAAGATTTTCATAAACCCTAACATTACTGTCGCACATAAAGGTTTTAATTTAGTGCGACGTCACTTTAGATATCTAAAAGATAGGCTTCCCTATGAAAAAAAAGCCACGTCATTTATGAAATACCATTGGTCAGATAAGCCAGTATCTTAAAAACATTCCTTTAATTTTGAAAAAGTAAAAATTCAAAACAAAACAATACAAAGAAAAGAGAAATCCTAGAAATGATTGAAATTCAAAAAAAATAAAAATGTTATAAACGCCAAGACAGACGTCAACAATCATAGTAAAATATATTGCAGCATACTTAAATAATCAGTTTTCTAGTCTAACTCAATGCATCCAAATATTTCGCATATCGCACGATTTTATATCGTTCTGTGCGAAAAGGAACGCAGTCGAAAGAGGAAAAAAAGTTATAAAAAAAACAAAAAACTCTATTTATTTGAATTCGATGGGTTTCTACCCCCTTGTGTTAATTGTAGTATTGTGAACCATTGTTCCATGTGCGTGAGTCGTTTTATATACATTTTTTTTGGATTGTGTCACACAAGGGTGAGTTGTTATATATAAGAAAAGAAATAAGGAACAATAAAACAAAATTCTAGATACATGACCCAAAATTTTAATAATTAATATGATGCTCCTTCACTTTGACCCTAACTGTGTAAGTAAGATTTATCCTATACTGACTGATCTCCTTCTCAAATGTAACTTTTAGATTATATTTTTCTGAGGAAGGTCACTTTTGGAACGAAACGTCAAATAAAAAATGTAGTATTCTAATTTTGTCTGGTTCTCTTCATGACCAAGTAGTTCATTACTTTTTATTTAGCGCCCAGCATTCAAACCCAAATGTTATGTAAACAATTTTGAAAAAATTCATTTTTATTTTCCTCTAAATGTCCCTTCTTGCTCGCTTTTACTATTGATATGTACTCCTAGGTATTTGAAGTTGTCCGCCTGGTCCAGCTATCTACCATTCACGGCGATTTTAATATCTGCTTCCTCTCTACCGTGTTTTCCCACATTAGTTTCTTCTTTTCTTTTGCAAAGGTTCACACCATGCGTCTAGCTTCGACTGTGATTTATCTTCTCTACTGGCAAACATCGCCAGGTCGTTTGCAAAAGTACATTGTCTGGTCCATTACTCGTTCTTCTCCATTTCCTTTTGCAGAGTTTTTTCATTATTCCGTTATTTCTTCTTCTTTTATTAGCAATTGCCTTTGTTTATTTTTAATTTGGTTGATCTTCTCCTCCTCCCACGAAAATTTTTCTATTTTATTTCCGAATTGTTCCCATGATTTTTTCTTAGCGTTTTTTTTTTTTTTACTCGGTCTCTTTGTTGTTTGCAATCATTCCATTTTTCATTTGTTCCTTCAACTTTTGCTAAGTTGAATAAATATTTTTATCCATGATAAAGAGGCACAAGAGTCGAAAAAATTTACTAAAGATTGAATTACAAAAATTATTAGTAGTAGCAAAAAGTTTATCATACACTGGTTGGTCGACCCACGTAAAGCGTCATCATTAAAAAGAATGCAGAATGCAGAATACAGTTACATACATTATATACACGTATGCAATTATTTAATAACATTTAAAAATAATAATAACAACTATGATACGTAAGTCGAAATTTTTGCAAATTGCAATTTTCAATATTTCGAATTATGCCATTTAAAGTTTGGATACTTATTTTTAAAATTTTGGGGTAAAGTTCGAAATTTCACGGTAAAATTTCAAGATGCACCTTAAACTTTTAATCCAAAATTTTAAATTTGAAGATAATACCAATTGTTTTTACATGTAATTTGACTCAGAAAATGGCTAATTTCTTTTCCAGCTCACGCCAACACAAAACTGCTCATAACGACTGGTGGATTGCTGAGCATACAGGAAGCTATTGTGCACGGCATCCCTGTGATCGGACTTCCTATCACCGAAGACCATCGGGAAAACATGAAAATTATCACAGAAAATAAACTAGGTTTGCAACTGGATGTCACCAACTTGACCGAAGATCTGATTTACGATTCAGTCACTACAGTTTTAAACAACCCGGTGTACGCCATTTTTCGACTACACGGCAGTTCCCACCAATACGTTTTCGAATTATAGCCAATCCGTATTTTTTTAAAACACTCAGTGTATGTTCAATGTGAAAGCAAATTTACGTATTTTCTGGAAATTTAGATTTCGAATTCGGATCATATTTTCGGATTTCCGTTGCTAGTAACATGACAACAAAATCGCTGATCGAATGGTCTTTTTGAAGTACTACATTCTCTGAGAAAGTAAAGTTGCGTGCCTAATGTTAACTTTTGACTTAAATTTCATTTTTTTTTTAGAAACCGCTGATCAAAACATAAGAAATGCTGTTATCACCACCTCCATAAGGGCTCTGTCCATTTTTAGAGATAAAAAAAACAAAAATCTATTTATTTTGTGTACTTTGCACATCCCTCGGTGCATCCGCACATCACGAAGTTTTAAATATTAAAATCTGAACTGAACCCCTCAATTCTAATTGTCTCACTTTCAACTGAGCTATTTAACCATGTTTCACTCACCCCAACAACGTCATAATCACCAGAGACCGCTATATACTTAAAATCGTTCGAACGGGCTGTCAAAGATTTTGCATTCATATGTGCAATTTTAAGCTTTTTTACGTTAAAATTCCTTTTCCACACCTGTATATACATACATTATTAATTTATACAGTGTATCTTTGGCAAATGAGATCCTTATCATTAAAAAGCCTTTTACACCTAGCTGCAGGTTTTGTTTCACACGTGTCGTAATGTTAGCTCGGGCAGATTTTCACGGCTTTACACCAAAAGAATGAACAAAATTGTGTATTTTACATACCGGGTGTTTTCTAATTGAATGTCCCCAATCAAGGGGACGAATTTTGGGTCCATTTTAAAAAGGAAACTTCATACGAACACACCTAAATTTAATTACCAACCACTTTAAGATAATTTTTGCAGCGAACAGAGTTAGCGGGTCCCTAAACACGTTGGTGGTAGCGGCCCTTAGAAGTCATAAGTTGATTGTGTTTTTTGCAGGTTCAAAGACAACATGGACACATTCTCGCTCAAGTTTAAGGCCCAACTGGAAAATCCTGTAGTCAAGGCGGTACGTTGGATCGAATACCTTTTGAGATACAACGATACGTCGTTCTTAAGTCCTTCCACTCGATACGTCAGCAGTTTTTCGGCAAAGTCTTTCGACGTCGAATTGTTTATATTTGTGGTGTTATTGTTCGCCATCTTCTCTATTGCGCGGGCATGCTTAAGCTGTTTGAAACTGATCTACCGTTATAGAAATCGCACTCAGGTAAAAGTAAAATCCCAATAAAATATATATGTTGAACTGAGGTGGCTTTTACATGATGAAAATCCATTTAACGGAATAAATAAGAACTGAAAGTAATTATATATATTCATATGACAATTGCTTTGACAACAACCTGTCTTTATCATATGTAATATTTACAAACTACCTATTTATTTATTTATTTTTTTATTTAAATCTAAAGCTACAAAAAGTAGAAAATCAAGTTTATTAGAAGCCATGGAGGTTAACAAAATGAGACATTCAAATGTATTGCTTAACGATCAATTAATTTTAAATACCTCTCCATTATTAAACTCAAATTCTCACAACAACATTAATTAAGGTTTTATTGTAATTTTTCGGTATATATAGCAGCAAGTAGTTTGTAAATATTACATTTGATAAAGACACGGTGTTGTCGAAACAATTGTCAAGTGAATATATATAATTTCGTGAAAATCTGAACTTTTAGTTCTTATTTATTTTGTAAAATATACTTTCCAGTGAAAAGTTTTTAAATTTTTTATTAGGAACCAATAACTATGCAGCTTTGAAGAAAATAATTGGCATTGAGTTTCTCAAGATGCGGTTTCGTCGAGCTCTAGTCCTAAAAATCTAGCATGCTTTTTTATTTCAACTGGGTTCCCGTCCGACCAGACATTCACCGAAAGATCTTTTTTGTTTTCTGGGTATTTCAAAATCAGCACACTTGTTTTTTGGACATTCAAAAATAGTTCGTTGGTGTTAAACCGGCTATTTAGCAGTTCAAGTGCTGAATTAATTCTACTTAAAGAGTTTGATAACATTGTGAGGATACTAACTTGAACAGTAGTCAGCGAACTCTAATAGACCCAAACTAGGTAGGTCAGCAGAAAGTTCATTGATAAAAAGGATAAATAAAACATAGCCCAGCACTGTACCTTGCGGTACGCCTCTATCTACAGATTGGACTTGAGATTTTTTAATTTGACACAAGTTTCCCCTCTCCTGCTTTATTTCAACATGCTGCCTACGATTTGTTAAGAACGATCTGAACCAGTTCAGGGCTGTTCCACGAATTCCGTATTGTTCCATCCTATTCAAAAGAATTTCGTGGTTCATACAGTCAAACGCCTTGCTAAGACCACAAAATATCCCAGCACTGTGCTCTCCAGACTCAATATAGCTTATAGCATGAATGGATCGCTGTTTGGGTTAATCTACCTGTTCTGAAACCGTGCTGACTTTCAGACAAAATTCTGTTTTTACTTAAATAATCGGTCAAGCGGTCAAGCATGGCGTATTCAAATATTGGACGATAATTTTCTGCAGAATGTCTGTCGTCCTTTTTAAAGATGGGAGCCACACTCGAAACTTTCAGGGAGTTCAATGGACTCAGGATATAGTCGGCACACTTTCTGAATATTACAAAAGGCACACTATCAGCGCCATAAGAATTTTTGTTTTTTATTTTATTTTTTATTAAGTTCGATATTTCCTCTTGAGAGAAAGGTCTAATGTACATATTTTCAGGGAAGCTTCCAATTACATCTAGAAATAAATTTTTGTGCAAGTTAGATGACCTCTTAATTTTATTATTATCAGGAGCTTCTATGAAAACGTTGTTCATAAAATTGACTACTGCTACATTACTAACATTATTCTTAATCTCAAAATTCTTTGGCCGCTTATTCCTTCCACTTATCTCAGACACAATAGACCAAACAGTTTTATTTTGATTATCTGACTCTAAAATTTTTCGCTGATAGTAGCCTTTATTTTTAAATTTATTAATTTTTTATGTTTACTTTGCTCAGAAATGCTGACTGTTCTTAAATAAATAAATAAATACACAGGAGAAATGAATTAAACATATCATGTGACAATTTTAATTGTGCATTTTAGAGAATTTACAGAATTTCAAAAACCATAAAAAGTCAACCACATTTGATGCAACAAGAGATATGAGCCTATGGACAGATATTACATATTAGGTTGAACACTAACAGCTCAAATAAGAGAATCATTGTTTTGATAACAAATATTTATATTTGAATGATAAGGACTCGGAGTCATGGATAAATTTCATTTCACCTTTGTGGCATATTGAGGGTCAAAATGAAAAACTTTTTTCAACCATATAAACATTTATTGATTTGGCGGTGCAATAAATACAATGAACCGAATATTATTTTACTTGTTACTCCCAAAATATAAATGATGCAGTCACCTGTAGCGGCCGCGTCTACTAGATACAAAAAGTTGCACCTGGTAATGAAACAAGACTCAGTTATAATTATATGAAGTAACATGGTGGGACGAAAAACAAATATTAAAATTTAAAAAAAAATAAAAATGCCATTTCTTTGGGCTTTTTGGATTTTCAGGCAGTAATACTAAGCGCCACTGCCTTTTTCTCTATATCAATATTGTTGGATCTGTTTCCTTAAACTTGGTATCTTATGAAGTTGGAGAGCTTTATCAAATTGATGTAATTTATGAATTAAGTAAAACAAGGAAAGTTTCTATTATTTTTTTAAATATTTTATTTAGTATTCACTTTAGGTGAAAATATTAAAAGCGTGCGCCCCTGGCTTTAACCATTTTCTTTACAAAAAGTAATTCTTTAATGACTTGAGGAATCCAACATTATAAAAATTTAAAGAAAATACTTTTTTGTATGTACAAGGTGAATTTGAATACATTTTTTTTGTATTATTTCAATTGTCGCTCAATTACATGCAGAGTAATCATATAGGGTGTTTTTTTTCGATGTATAGAATTTTAAATTGCAACAAAACAACGATGGATTATTCGATTGACATGAATTTTATTTATGCGAAAGATAATCTTGTGGCATTACATTTTAAATATGATTTCTGCCATATGACCGCCGCAGCTGGCGTGAATGTGGTCCAATCTGGACGTCCAATTTTCGATGACTTTTTCCAACATTTGTGGCTGTATGTCGGCAATAACACGGCGAATGTTGTCTTCCAAATGGTCAAGCGTTTGTGGCTTATCCGCATAGACCAATGACTTTACATAACCCCACAGAAAGTAGTCTCGCGGTGTTAAATCACGAGATCTTGGAGACCAATTCACGGTTACAAAACGTGAAATTAGGCGGTCACCAAACGTGTCTTTCAATAAACCGATTGTGGCACGAGCTGTGTGACATATTGCGCCGTCTTGTTGAAACCTCATCTCCTGGACATCATGGTTATTCAATTCAGGAATAAAAGAGTTCGTAATCATAGCTCTATATTGATCACCATTGACTGTAACGTTCTGGCTATCATCGTTTTTGAAGAAGTACGGACCCATGATTCCACCAGCCCATAAAGCGCACCAAACAGTCAGTTTTTCTGAATGTAACGGTGTTTCGACATACACTTGAGGATTAGTTTCGCTCCAAATGCGGCAGTTTTGCTTGTTGACGTAGCCATTCAACCAGAAGTGCGCTTCATCGCTAAACAAAATTCGCTTATGAAAATCGGGAACAACGTTTTGGGCCCATTCGACGAATCTACGTCTTACTTGATGATCGTTTGGCTTCAATTCTTGCACGAGTCGGATTTTGTAAGCACGTAAACCAAGATCCTTCCGCAAAATCTACCATAAAGTGGATGGACGCAGATCCAATTCCTGTGCTCGATGGCGGATGGACTCATTCGGGTCATCCTCAATGATACGCTCTACAGCAGCAATAGCTTCTTCTGTACGCACCGTACGGCGTCTCGGGGATGCGAGTTATCAATAGGAGGAAACGTGGTGCGAAAACGTTCCATGGTTAATCGAATTAACTGCTCTGATGGACGATTTTGTCGACGATAAAGTGGACTAACTAACTAACCAAAACTAACCAAACTGAGAATAATTCACTTGACAGCTGTTAAGTCGGTCGCCATCTTGAACAGCAATGGCAACTTAAAGTTTTATACATCGAAAAAAAAACACCCATTATAAAGTTACATATTGTTTTAGGGAATACCCTATATTTTTGTTACATTTTTAAATATCCCTTTAAAAGGCGAAAAATAAAAATGTTTTTATCCGATAGGCGGCGTTGCGATGTCAAACACCTTGTATATATTTTCGGATAGCCATTTAAAAGGCGTTTTGAATTTGTTGATAATTTTTATCAATTCCGAAGCAATATTAATTATTAAATATTACTGTATCGATAACATTTTATTTCAAATAGTTTCGTATTAAATTTTCCACATGTCCGTCATGTTGAATATTTCAATATATTATCTCCGAATGATTTATGATATTTAACTATAATTGTCTAATATATAATTGTCTAAAATTTCTATTTAAAATTTCACCGATGTCACGATTTTTTCAAAAATTAAAAACTTGCAAAGGGTACTCTTTTTGGATAAAAATAGTTGGTCACCTTACGTATATGGGCATGAACCCGGGTAGAACACAGATCTCGGATATAATATAGAACGTAAAAATTAGACAGTTCATACTCGGCTGTGTGCGTGTGATTTGTTCCTAACAGCTTTTGAATACTTTATCCATAACGTTTCCATTTTCATAATAACGTCAAATTTAACCATTTTAAAAATGATTTCAACTTTATTCGTCTCTTTAAAGGTTTTCCATTATAGGGAAACATTTTGGGAACAATTAATAGCTTCCCAGGTTTTATAAAATGGCCAATCGAAACATAACCATTATGATTAAAGAAAAACGATAGTTGAAAGGTCGATGTTTTCTGCTAAGAGTCGAATTATCAACAATGAACGTACCTGTCGTTGAAACGATCCAATTTAAGTACGAAGTTACCCTGGTGTTTATTGCGGGACTATCCTTGGGGCAATCGAGTGCATGGGATATGACCCCGACAAGGTGCAACCTTCCAGTGTTAGGATCCGTCCACAGCAGCGGGCCCCCGGAATCACCAATGCACTCGCGCAAATGCACAAATCTCTCCGCTGTTGATGGTCTCACTGTGTTCTAGCACGCATTGCTGGTTCGAAATTACAATGATGCTCGCCTCTCTTAGTACGTCCGAAAGATTCATAGTACCGTC